TCTTTGGGCCGCGGCCACTCGTTTATGGATGGTAGCGATCCGTCGTGTTTGTAAATCCGTAGTCACTCCGCTCACACTTGGAATCTGTCACACCAATGAAGAAATGTCGTATCAGCATCGGCGTGAGGACCCAATGATGCGATACGGAATAAAAAGAATCAGTGATACGTACGGCACCGGATAAAATCTTGAAACCCTCTGTCAAATCCAGTCCCTTTGCTGAGAAAAAGGCCTGGCGACCGCTCTCCCCGGAGACTACCATCACCGTGTTCTATGATAGTCATCGATGATAGAGAGCACCGAAAAAAGGTCGACAACGAATAGGCACAACAGGCCGATGGGAGCGCAGCCGTGAAACACAATTGAGGCAAGCAATTAATGGGGACCATGCAACGCCGGCGCGACAACAACGACCAAACCATGCCCACACCACAACACACGAATAGAATTGGCCGCGCAAACAGCAAAGTAATAGAAGAGATATCGAGTACTCAGCAAACGCCACGGAGTAACGAGAAAAGAGACTCACCCTCAAAAGCTTGAACTGAAATATACTCTGTCCGGTAGCGCGAATTCCCCAGTTGAGGAATGCATATCTCCTGCGATAGAATGGCATTATGTGAGAGAGTGAGAGTCCAGGCAGCGACGTTGGGGCATCTGCAGCATCATTCTGGAAGGCGGATGTAACGAGGACGATCAGGAGGAAGATTATCACAGCGACTGTAAACTGTGTGGCAAAGCCCGCGGAAACGAATGCATTCGCTGCAGATTGCAGTCCAATAGAGTAGGGCATGACTTCCAACAGTTAACAGGTGCGAGGCAACTATAAGGTGAGTATTGGATTTCGTGCCCGGGGAGGGGGCGAGTGACCTTGGACAGAGGTAGGATGTCAGCACGCTTGAAACACAGAGAAGAGTAGATATCCTTACGTGGGGAGCGGCGATGTATAGGAGCGTCCAGGGGGAGCCGAGGGAGGAGCCGAGAGCCAAGAGAGCGATATATAGTGAGGACCAGCCAAGAAACGGGTCAACGAAGAGACAAGGTGTGGCATTGGTGGTATTTTATAGCCCCTGCGCATCGAGCGACCGGAGGAAGGATATCAAAGTGTCATGACCGGTAAAACTCTCATTTCGGTCACGACCCTGGGCGGAAGTGGAACAGAATCGGGAAGGAGGGGAGGAATCTGGAGCCGACCTGAACGATGACCCATACAGGGTGACAGATGTTCTGGCCAAACCATGTTGCCTGCTGGCTGTGCCGATGTGACCTCTCCCTCATCAAGAGGTCGGTTCCGAAATGAAGTTCACTATGAGTTCTCACCCATCCAACACGTGGTGAAGACCGCTTGGCGCCCAACCGCCACTAGCATCCTTCTATAGCGTTTCACGTCGACTAACCTTTCCCAAAGCCTGCCGCGACCTCACCCTATACCGTCAATAGTCCGCCACCTTCTCTCGTCGACCGTGCTGTGTTCCAAGATACGGCGTCAAGTCATATGCCTAGCCTCGGGACTGCAACAGTCACGACTCGCTCATGATTTCATCATGAAAACTGCGTCACACCACAAGGCACATCACACGTCCTAAGTCCCCATGGACTCGACGATCCCACGTTGCAATAAGCCCTAGTGGTGTGAGATATAGCTTGATTTTCCTTGTAGAACGCTGGTTGTGTCAGAACCCATCCAGAATAGATGCGAAGAGGCGGAGCTGATCTGACCGATAAATTGGGGACCCCGAACAGCAGGGGTCACGATCCATCGTCGATCTCCCTCGAGCCACTCCCGCCTAACCAAATCCAGCAATCCCATCAACTTTAACCATTTGCGTACGCAACTCTAATGCCTTATTCACCTGCCATTCAGTACATGTTTGAGTATACAGCGGGAACCGTCATTCAAGCGGTGTACAGGCGGAAGCCGTGCACGTCACACTTCGGCACTCAGTATTCAGGCGCCTAGACATCAATCATCGTCAGACAGCTTACACAGGTGCTGCCAAGGAAGCACATGTACCAGTTGGCCCTTCGTTCTGATTCCTGCCGTATCACGGAACAAGTCCGACATTATATTTTATGTCTATAAGGGTGCAGTTGACCACATGTGTTTATGCCCTACACAGTTGTGGTGCCGATAAGCGATGAGTGAATCCGATGACAACACATCGGTAATGAGCGAGCGCTGCCAAAATAACGCAGACGTGGAAAATCTGGTGTGACGCGAAGAAGTAGTCGAATTTTCCTGTTGAAAAACGCTCTGGAATTCGATTCGCGCTTTTTGTGCACAACGAGTGATGATGGTAACAAATATAGGGGCGAGGGAGCAATTGACGTTAATGAAATGTCGATTGAAACGGAATGACAACATCCACGACGCCACGACACAGGAACGGCATAACCGCGTTTATGTCGGAAACGGGGTGGAGGATTAAACTTAGAAATTGATGACTTACTATAGTAACGCGCCTGCGATGTACAACGACGCAGAGGCTAACAGCCATCCAAATCCCATGTCCGAGAGTAACTCGTGAATCCCATGCGTTGTAATGAGGTGCGATACCGGCACCATTCCAGAAAGGCCTAATCCAATGAAGACGAATGTTCGGGCTCCTCGATGCGTCGGTTTCGAATATTCTGGACTCAGCACAATGTACGCAGCTCCTAAGTTCCGAGACAAACGCCGGTGATAGCATGAATAAACAGACGATGCTCGTCACAAATTTAGACTCACCAAGACCCGCGAGAGAGATGCCCGTGAGATAGAGAACTTTCAGATTGGCATGACAGAAGAAGCCGTAGTAAATTGCGGGATAGAATGATCCCACTGTGAGGATGATTATTCCAGAGTAGTCATAAGCATGACAGCGGGAGGCAACCTTAATTAACAAGGAATAAGTCAGAAAACGCGGCTACATGCGAATATTCATACCTTCTCCGAATGGCAGCCTGAGGTGTGGTATAGCGCACTGGAAAACAGGCATACGGCCGCGGACAGCAAGAAAACGAGGAAGACAGCGGAGTCATGCCAGGTGGCGACCGGTGTGAAGGGCTTGATGTAAGAGCCGTAAAATGTGGCACAGAAGTAGACAAAGAGGACTGCGCCCCAGAGGTGAGTGTGAATATTTACTGCGACGTTGAAAAGGCATTGAACGTGTGGGAGCAAATTCAAGTATGAAACCCGTTACCCGTCTCGTTATGCAAATCTACAATAGTAAGCGGAACAGAAGTCAAACACGGAGGTGGGGCTGGGGGTAGTAGAAAGACTCATACATGCGTACACAGATTCCAAACAGCCTTTCCAGTGGTACTGCACCCTTGGGACAGGTTAGCGTGACTCGCGGTTCCGTTTCAACTCGCTGCGCTGCGCACCGCCTGTAGCCGTTCACGATGAACTCGTTGTCCTTCTGCCACTCCTCTAACTCGTTCCAAGAAAGGGTATATGATCTGGACGCCCGCCCTTTTTTCTCGTCCAACACCGGTAGAGTCGACTTGAGGGCATTTCGGTGACGAAGGGAACGAGGGCTAGGCCCAGACATGGTCCTGAACAGGATCTAAGGTTTGCAAGAGGGTATTTTGTTGAACGCCGCCGGATCTGCGAAAGATATTTCGTTCCTGGTTTGGGACCAGCGGAGGGACGTTGAGAACAGGAACAGCGGTGATAGCATCAAACTATTGGGCTTGCATGTGACATCAGACTTGCGGCCCGTGATTGCCGCCGATAAACCTCATCTCAGTTCAGTGCAAGCCCGTTCGAAGTGTAGCGCTCATCCTACCCCAGATTTCCTGTGTTGAGTACTTTAATACGCAGTCATTTTATGTGATGCATACCACACGTATGCTGTGCACACGCTGCGCATCGTCTTCTTTACCATTGGTTTGGGCAGAAGAAAGGCCGGACAACAGCGGGTCACAGGCTCACAGCACCTCATCTCGACCTTGTGGTTATTTCCGTTTCCAAAAACTATTGTCCTATTAGGCGTTTGTGGTTCACAGTTTCTCCGGAACTGCCGACGCACAACAATGTGCCTTGCTAGCGTCGATCTGGAGGAGAGCTCATGAGTACCGCAGCTGGTAATGATCATTCAGCCTACATTACACTCAGGAAGCACCCCAATACTCTATGAGGCCCTCCGAGAGGCACGCAAGTCAGTCACCTCTTTCCCTCTTGACATCACCCGCGGAAATAGGTGCTGTGGTGTCAAAGACATTACGATAGGGATTCTAGTGGGAATGCCCATTCTTCTGTCTAAAGCTCCCTCCGGTGACGAAGGCCGACCTCATCACTATTCCTCGCATTCGTTCTGGCCGAACCGCTAGATGAAGTAGAGAGAACAACTTATAAGTAGAAGCTGTGCAAGGTATTCGAGGCAATATTGAATACTGAATTGTGGTGCTTCATCCGAAATAGCAACGTCATCCTGGCAATTCAGTAAATAACATACTTCACCCTCACAAACATCTGAACATTGGGAAAAGACCAACAACGGGTCGCTGGACGTAATAGTTCTCCACTTCATCGCCCGTGTTATGTCTTCGGAATCGGGGACCAATATCTCAGTATCAAACGAATATATAATCGGTAACGCCGCAGAGCACCTCAATTCACATTACTGTAACATGGCGCAGGAAGACGTACATAAAAGTGCCGGCTTCCGCGACCAAGGTTCTACAGGCAATTTAGAACTAGGTTCTATTTCTGTATATATCTCAATGTCGATTAACCTTTTACTCTTCCAGCCCGAGAATCGGAGTCGGGGGCCGACTCAAACGCCACTAAGAACTTAGAGGGAAACATTGGGTTGCAAGCGACTAGGTGGCGGCGGCGGGAAAATCACTCTCGAGCAAGCTTTTGTTTCGAAACCTGGTAGGATGCTGGTGGGAGGGTACTCTTGAAGGCCCGAAGACTCCAGAGGGTGCTTTGGGAATAAGACGTTAATACTACTACTTACTTGGGTTGTAGTGATACAGTGGAGTATGTTGTATTACTCCCGGATGATGAACAAGCCCGCTTGGCTTAGGGGTAAAGCGTGCCACTCGTATTACCGTAAGCGGTAATTCCTTATATGGCAAGATCAGTCGTTCGAATCGGCTAGTGGGCAGTAAGTTTTTATGTGATCTTTTTTCGCCTTGGTTGATCGTCGTTTGAATCGGGCGGCTGCAACGTGGCCTGTCAATGTTTATTTTTGTGTTCCCCTGAATTGTGAACCGATTTTTAACGAGAAACGCCTACAAGCGGGGCCAAGGGGAAATAGACTGCTCAGCATCACTCAGAGGGTTGGCATGCCACCAGTCCCTCCGTGAAACACACGTTCTCCGCTCCTGCCTTCTCTTCAGATCCTTGGCCTTACCAGCCACTTCTTGATACTGGCCCTATTCAACCTTGTTCAAGTTAGCAGGTATACCCATCTGTCCGTTATGGGCGAAAGCTCCAGCAGGCAGGAGGACGGATGGAGGGACCTATCTATAGTTACTGTTTCAAATAGCGATGTCAAAAATACATACAGAATACAAGTGCGACAGCATAATGCATAACAAGAATCATGAAATGAACACTTTGCGAAGATCAGAAAACGCGCAAGCGAGACCGGTTCGAGGACAAGTAACAATGTTATTGTTCTTAACCGCCATTTCCTGCATTGCCTACTCCAATGCTCCAGTTAATGTCCGCCAGCATGGTCATTAGTGAAACACAAAACGCACCTCCAACGAGTACACGTTCCCATTCGGGAACGCCATAGGCATATTATCCGCATCCATAATTTTTCCAGTAATCCTACAAACAATGGTCGAGTTGGCGTGGTGACTGAATGGAACTTCCTCCGCCAACCCACCCAAACCCAGTGGTTGAGACCCTGAAGACGATGTTGGTGCAGATCCTGATACTGACGTCGAACCCGAAGTTGACGTCGATGTCGACGTAGTGGAGAGCTGCGAACCGTGGTCGGTGATGTCGTTGCTGGACCCTGTTGCTGATGCGCTGACCATAGTGACGTCGTTGGTGCTTGCTGCTGTGAGTGCGGCTGACTCCCCATCGCATACGGGGCAATCGACGTTTTTGGTCTGAGTATCGTAACAAGCTGGCAATTTGAGTGACGCTAAACCCGCATAGAGTGCGAGGTGGAGCAAAGGTTCATTTGGGAGCGTGTTGAGGTTGTAAATCGCAAGGCGGAATGACCGAATGAGATTAGCCCAGCGAGAGTAGTCGTACAGCCGCTGCAAAGATGAATGTCAGTTAGGTTGCTCGGTTTGAAAGGAGGGGCCAGACGGACCTTATAGGGGCCACAGGTAGTCGTGGGAGGGAATACGAGCAGCGCAGAGGCACGCTTAATTTCTTCGAAATGGGTCTCTTGCCACTGGATCAGGTGTTTCTTGGTATACGCGATAGCTTCCTGGCTTCTCCGTTGTCGGGCGAGTTCAATGAACTCCTGCAAACGTAGCTCGAACTCTAGAGTGCTCTATCACGGCCCCCGGTCAGACATACAGCAGGCCGAGCCACGAATATAGCACGCGCCTTAATTTTCCGAAGCGCTGCTTTGTTCTCACTACACCATGCCAGGGCTTCCGTGCAGCTGTGCCTTGCGAGCGCGTCTTCAATCCGTTTTATGTCGGAGAACAGGTCAATGTCAACCAGGGTCTGTAAAAGTGAGGGCCTCTGTCAGCGACTTGGAACTCTCCACCACAAAAACTCCGAGGGGAAGGGCGGTCCGTACCTCGATATCTTTATCCCTTGCTATCCGCTTCGCCGTACGCTCTTTACCAGTCCTTAGGGTCCAATCAACGAGCCACCGATCCAGCCGGGTGTCTGCCCATCGAGAGAACTCGGGTTCGGTGGTACTTTGAATAGATTCGATCGTGGCGAGGTGATTGAGTCGTTCCCGCATCACATCCAAAGTGGGCTTGCCTGCACTCTCGTTCAGATCCGAAAGCTGACGTTTCACGCCGCGTTTATGAAGGCAAAGGAGTACAGGTCAGAGGCGATGAGTGAATAACGCGTCAGTCAGCAAGTGAATTGGTAGTGCAATGTGGTACGACAAACCTTGCGTTTCAAGGACTCCACCCGGCTTATCATCCCGTCGATGGTCTTGAGTGCCTCATCGCCACTCAGTGTGCCCGACTTTGCTCTATTAGCGAGGTCATTGGATACATTTTGGAGTGGCCCAAATTCTTTCTCGACGTTTCTTTGTGACGTTCGGAACACCTTGCGGTAATTTTCATAGGGTACCTATGTAATGAGTAGTATAGTTGGGTGAATCCGGTCGAGTTGTGTGAAGACCAGGGAACGTAAAAGAGACGCACACGAACGAAAGGTTGTTCTAGAAGGAGAATACCATCGACGTTGAGCTTGTTGTTCGCCATTATAAGTGCATAGAGAACATTCAGAGTTCTGGATGACCTTTGGGTATGAGTTATGGACAAGCAGTGTCAGCATCGGTGTTACGAGGTATTGATCCCGGGCCGCGGGCCGGCCATTCCCGGCAAGAAATTAGGGGTTGCTCCTTCCTTGTCCGCTTTACTGAGTTTACTCCCACTTCCTTGTGGTGTGTACCACACCGAATACTCAACTTAGCCAATCGCGGTTCACGGCACCTGATTCAAACAGGGTGTCCAGGGAAACTGAGACACGTCTACAACCCGCCATTTAACGAAACTTCCCATATCAAGACCTTCAGATTTCCTGGACACCAAACACCCTCCCATCTTCTTTCGCGAAACTAAATCCGGAGTATATAATGCAGTCTAGAACAGGGATAGTGAAAGGAGAAGAAAAACGAGGCAGGCCCTTCCGGGACCGCAAATTCAATGTCCACCGTCCAGCATTGCAACGTAGGTGGCGTGTCATAATGCACACAACTTCAAATTTTTGACACACACAGCTTACGGTGAATTAGAGGCTCGGTACCGCCAATACTGCACGCCGAGATTGACGGAACAGTGACCTTTTCAGCGCCCTGTGTTGAATATTGATGTTACGCGGGCTGATCATGTTGACGTCCAGAATCTTGTTCAATGGTGCAAGGAGGTTTCCACAAGGCAATAGAATGGCAAGTTGGGTCATTCCGAGTTCAATACTACGTTTCAATTTCGTACATGGCTCGTAGTCTGACATCACGTTTGTTGGACACGGCCCGGCCAGCTGGGGCGGGTTCTACTAGTAGCGCGCGCACCGCGGGGGCAGAATTGATAATAATCTATTAATCATGCATGTTATGACATTGATAGGTAGCGCAAAGCCCTAGATAGATGACCATTGAATACTGATCACTGATCCATCCATCCTCACATCGTGACAGTTCCAAACCCGATCAAGCATAAGGTCCTCCAAGGATAAAGAGGCTCAGTACCGTGGAATTGGGATAGGATGCCGGACGGCCCTAACATCAGATGACCTGGGTATAACAAGGTGGCCAATAGAATATCAGAAACATACCCACATGGGAAAACAAGTAAATAAAACCTATAAAGATTCGCGGGTCTCCGTCAATTTGAGCCCCTGATCACCCTTCTATCGGTTTTCAAGTACCTGCCATCATGCCAGCCAGTCTGACCGTCAAGCTTAACACGGGCGTCGAAATGCCAACCCTAGGTCTGGGTACGTTTTCTGTCTGCACCAACTGCTTGAATTATGTCATATCATGGTGGGCTAATTATGACCAATTCAATAGGGACTTGGAAATCTAAACCTGGAGCCGTTGAGGTTGCAGTCGCTCATGCGTTGACGCATGGCTATAAGCACATCGATACCGCCACTGATTATCAAAATGAGACAGAGGTTGGCCAAGGCATCAAGTCCTCTGGCGTCCCTCGTTCAGAGGTCTTCCTTACTACCAAAATCCAAAACTGCGATCACAACGATGTCGAGGGCGCTTTGAACAAAAGCTTGAAGAGCCTCGGTACCGACTACCTTGACCTTTGTATGTTTTCCGTCACCAATTGCCTGGGTTAACCGTAACTGATTGTTGAGCTCGCGCTTGCAGGGTTGCTGCACTGGCCCGCGCCCATGAACGCAGATTGCACAGGCGCCGACAGATCTGTAGGTTTAACCAAGCGCTTTCCACTTCTTGTTTATCTTGTCTGACAGACAAGTGAAGCTCGATTGGCTTGATACGTGGAAGAAAATGGTCGAGCTCCACAAGGCGAACCCCCGGAAGCTTCGCGCTGTCGGTAAGCATTCTGGAGTAAAACAAGGATCTTGTCCTAATACATACCGAATCAGGCGTCTCCAACCTCTCTCTTAAGTTCCTGACCCGGCTCTTGGAGAACTCCGACACCGTCCCAGCCGTGAACCAAATTGAACTTCATCCGTAGGTACACCTTATCCGATGATGGTGTATATATGCTGATTGAGACGCAGTTCCTGTCCTCAGGAAGAGCTGGTTAACTTCTGCAGAAGCAAGGGAATTGTCGTGACAGCTTACTCCCCCCTTGGGTCAGATAACTCGCCTCTACTCACCAATCCCATCGTCATTAGGCTCGCCGAGAAATACAAGGTTCAGCCCGCTAATATCCTCATTTCGCTCCAAGCAAATAGACCGGGTGTCAGTGGTATGTATTCACTTCAATTATAGTTTTCTTCATTCTCACAGCCGCTTTAGTTCTCCCCAAGTCTGTTACGCCTGCCCGCATCGAATGTAAGGCACTAACCTGTGGATTACTACGTCTTTTACTAACAATTTTGTTCTCTCCAGCCAACTACAGTGGTGTCATTGGTCTCACAGCGGAAGAGATTGCAGAGTTGCAAGCTATCGATAAGGATCATCATTTCCGTGCTTGCCACCCTTCTTGGACTGGTTGGGGAAGTCTTGGTTTTCCTGATTGCTTGGAAGCCGACAACGCGACCTTTTGATTCGATTATTTATACCAATAACTAGATATGAAGATTGTGTATCATATCACACACGCGCCCACCAGCCAAGCTCGTTGTATCACGAATCATAGGTGTCCCCCGGCTTCTATAACCGAAACCGGAAATATGTCGATGCGCTGTACGAATACGCCTTCCATATACTAAAGTATAACTAAAGTATACTGTTCTCTATTTCTCTGACTCGGGGGTGTCCCGATATGGTTGTTAACCTTCCTAATCGAGTTGTTGAGTCTT